AACAGAAACCCTCTATCTGTTGCCCTGGATAAAGACATACATAAAAGCGAAGGGCTAGAAAAAGGTTTTCCATGCAAATGGAAACCAAAAAAGAGCTGGAGACACGATACTGATTTCAGACAAAATAGGCTTTAAGACAAAAACTATAAGGAGAGACAAAGAAGGGCATTATATTGTAGTAGAAGGGCTAATTCATCAAGAAGATATAACACTTATAAATATCTATGCACCCAACTCAAGAGCACCCAGATATGTGAAGGAAAGACTGCTGGATCTAAAAGGAGTGATGGACTACAAACACACTAATAGTAGGGGATCTCAACACCCCACTACCTACTTTGGACCAATCATCTAGACAAAAATAAGCAAAGAGATACAGGATCATAAATCAAGTGGACTTAACAGACATCTATAGAACCTTCCACCCAAAAACCACTAAATATACATTTTTCTCACCCCTACAAGGAACCTTTCTGAAGACTGACCATGTGATAGGGTGCAAAACAAGCCTTTACAGATTTAAAGGCACAGAACCTATACCCAGAATCTTTTCCCAGCAAGGAGGAATTAAACTTGATATTAATTTCAGAAGAAACCCACAAAAATACATAATAATATGGAAACTAAATAACCTACTTCTGTATGACTTCACAACTACTGAAGAAATTAAGACCGAAATAAAAAGGTTCATGGAGACCAATGATAATAAGTACTTAAGTTTTTATAATCTATGGGACACGGCAAAACAGGTATAAAAGGGAGGTTCATAGCAATTAGTACACATAAGAAAAGGCCCAGCAGGTGACTTGGTGGTTAAGGGCGCTGGACTCCCACATGGCTGCCATGGTTTGAGTCCTGAGCCTGGTGGCTTGCTTTCTCATTTCCCTTTCTCTCTCTTGATCTGTCCTTCTCTGGTCAAATTAAAATAAATAAACAAATAAATAAAGTTAAATGAAAAATAATTAAAAGAAAAAAGAGAAAAAGATGGAAAGATGGCCATGGATAACCTAATATCATGTCTCAGAGAACTGGAAAAACAACAAAAGAAAATCAAAAAAATGTTAGAAGAAAAGAAATAATAAAGATTTGAGCAGAAGTAAGTGAAACAGAAAATAAACTATACAGAAAATAAATAAAGCAAAGCTGATTCTCTGAAAAGATAAACAAGATTGACACACTGTTAGCTAGACTAATTAAGAAGAGAGCAAGGAACCAGATTAATCAAAATCGCAATGAAATAGGCAGTATACAACAGACACAACAGAAATAAAAAACAGCACTAGAGGATACTAGGAGCGAATATACACAAGAAAACCTGGATGAGATGCACAAATTACTGGACACATAATCTACCAAGATTCAATCAGGAAGACACAGAGAAAAGCCCTAGTCCCAATGGTTTCATTTCTGAATTCTACAAAACTTTTAAAGAAGAGTTAACCTCCATTTTACTCAAGTTATTTTTAACGATCCAAAAGGAAGGAACCCTCCCAAATCCATTTTATGAAGTCTCCATCACCCTCATCCCCAAACCAGGCAAGGACATGACAAGGAAAGAAATCTATGGACCAATATGTCTGATGAATACAGACGCAAAAATTCTTAACAAGATACTAGCAAATCGTATTCAACAACTTATAAAAAAGGTTATATATCACAACCAGGTGAGCTTTATTCCAGGGAATCCAGGGTAGTTTAACATACACAAAACCATAAATGTAATACACCATGTTAATGAAAAGAAAGATAAAAACGATATGATATCAATTGATGCAGAACAAGCATTTGATAAAATACAACATCCCCTCATGATTAAGACTCTCAGCAAAATCAGCATAGAAGGGTCATTTCTCAACATAAGAAAAGGTATTTATGAAAAACCCACAGCTGACATCATACTGAATGGGGAAAAGCTGACAGCTTTCGCACTAAAAACTGGTACAAGACAAGGCTGCCCACTTTCTCCAATGCTTTTCTGTACAGTACTGGAAGCCCTAGCCAATGCAATCAGAAAAGAGAATAAAATAAAGGCATTCAAAAAGGGAAAGAAGAGGTGAAACTCTCTCTATTTGCAGATGACATGATTGTATACATAGAAGACCCAAGGGTAACCATGAAAAACCTGGAAGCAATAAATGAATACAATAAAGTAGCAGGATACAAAACCGACATACAAAAATCTATAGTATTTCTATATGTGAAGAAAAGCAGACTGAGGTAGAACTTTAGAAAGTAAGCCCATTTACCACGGCCACAAACAGTTTAAGACATCTAGGAATAAATCTAACCAAAGAAGTAAAACACCTCTACAGGGAAAACTATGAAAATCTAAAAGAAATTGAAAGGGACACAAAAAAGTGGAAAGACATTCCATAATCCATGTTTCTGCATTGGAAGAATTAATATAATCAAAATGGCAATTCTACCCAAATTAATCTACATATTTAATGCAATTCCACAAAGATATTCTTCACAGATTTAGAAAAGACAATCATAGAATTTGTCTGGAATCATAAAAGCCCCTGTATTGCCAAAGCAATAGTGCACAAAAGTGGAGTAGGTGGCATCTCACTCCCTGACATCAAGATACATTACAGTTGGGATAATCCACAAAAGTGGAGTAGGTGGCATCTCGGCATCTGACATCAAGATACATTACAGTTGGGATAATCAAAACAGCATGGTGCTGGCACAAAAACAGATATGCTGACCAGTGGAACAGAACAGAGACCCCAGAAATAAACCCCACAACATACAGCCAACTGATTTTTGATAAAGGGTACCAGTTAATCCAGTGGGAAAAGAAAACTTTCTTTAGCAATTTGCTAAAGTGCGGCATCTGACATCAAGATACATTACAGTTGGGATAATCAAAACAGCATGGTGCTGGCACAAAAACAGATATGCTGACCAGTGGAACAGAACAGAGACCCCAGAAATAAACCCCACAACATACAGCCAACTGATTTTTGATAAAGGGTACCAGTTAATCCAGTGGGAAAAGAAAACTTTCTTTAGCAATTTGCTAAAGTGCTGGAAAATTGAGTATCCATCTGCAAAAAGATGAACCTGGATCACTACCTCTCTCCATTAACAAAAATCAACTTAAAGTGGATCAAAGATATAAACCCAAACTATAAAACTACTGGTAGAAATCTACTGGGGAAACTGGGAGACACTGGGTTAGACAAAGATTTCTTAAATAAGACCCCCAAAGCAGAGGCAATAACCCCCAAAACAGACAAGTAGGACTACATCAGATTAAGAAATTTCTGCACAGCAAAAGACACAGTAATTAGTATGACTCGACAACCCTTGGAATGGGAGAATATTTTTGTAAACTATGCCTCAGATAAGGACTGATAACCAGAATACACAGGGAACATAAGCGGCTTACCTCCCCCAAAAAATGATCATCCCAACTAAAAGATGGGAAAATGAACTGAGTAAGAAACTCTCTAAGGAAGACATACGAACAGCCAAAAGAAACTCTCTAAAGAAGACATACGAACAGCCAAAAAGCATATGAAAAAATGCTCAGCATCCCTCATCCTAAGGGATATACAGATCAAAATCACGGTGAGATACCACTTAACCCCAGTCAGAATGGCTAAGATTTAAAAAAAAAAAAAGGTTACTGCCGACTATGGTGAAAGGGGAGCTCTCCTGCACTGTTGGTGGGAATGTAAATTAGTCCAGCCACTGTGGAGAAGAATATGGAGGTTCCTCAAAGATCTACATTTGTAGCTCTACCATTTGATCCAGCCATTCCACTCCTGGGTATCTATCCAAAAGACAGGAGAACACTGGTTCAGAAAAGTGCTTACACATCTATGTTTACTGCAGTATTATTATTCACAATTACTAAGACATGGAACCAAGGTTCAGAAAAGTGCTTACACATCTATGTTTACTGCAGTATTATTATTCACAATTACTAAGACATGGAACCAACCCAAATGTCCACAAACAGATGAATGGATCGAAAAGTATGGCATGCATACTCTGAAATATTACCAGTCATTAAAAAAACAAGATCCTGGCATTTGATAAAAAGTGGATGAATATGGAAGATTTACTGCTGAGCGAAGCAAGCCAGGCTATGAAAGAGAGATCATTTATCTCCACCTAATATATACTGACTATCCCCACTCTATGGTGTGGGGATTAAGAGAATTAGCGGATATGGAAGCATGGAAAAACGGTTATGGAGACTGCAGACAATGTTGAAAGAGGGTGAGGAAAGAAATTAAGGAGAAAAATAGAGAGGCAAGACATGGGACACAGAAATGGATTATCTGTTGATAACGTATCTTCAACTGGACTGGTATGAAGTGCATTCATGTTGGGTAAATTACCAAGCTAAGTGATATACAGTGAAGTGATTGAATGTATAAAATAAATTAAGATGAAAAATATTGCTTTTATAATAAGTGTTGTAAATAGACACAGTATATACAATTATTTTTATCTTTGAGTTAAAATAATTACAATTTGTTTCAAATGAAAATAAAATAAAGCCATGCATTAGCTTTTCCAATGCAGATAAGTTATTACAGAGCAAGTTAACAATAGTAACATGTTTATAAAAGTAAATTGTACGTCCAATCGAGAAACAATTAAGTTTGCATTATTCAAACTGGAACATGTTTCATCACTGGATTGGATCCAGAGTTCAACTAACCCTTTATTCTGAAAACCAAAACCCTATGTGTCTAAAGAAAGGCCACAGTAGCAAGATCAATAATGAAATCTTTCCATAACTTGGTAAGAACTTCTGCCCTAACCAACTTGCCCAACGTCTTCTTCCTACCGGCAGAATGTGAATTCTGAAAGGTAAAACAGTATGTTGTCGTTCAGTAATCTGGTATCTCCCAGAATATCTTTCAAAGTGTTTTGACATCAGGTCATGTTCAGTAAATGAGTATGGAACTGCAATGAACTCATAGAGCTCTCTATCCAAGAAATAAAAACACGGAGGGTTTAGTCATCCTACTTACGGCTCAGGTTCCACGGCAACGACCGGCATATCTCTTCTCAGCAGAAATCGGTTCTCAGGCACCGGAGGAATCTCTTCTGGGCGGACCACAGGCTTTTCTCGTTTTGCATTTGAGTCCACTGATCTTTTCTCCTTAGTATCACTCCTCTCAGAGTGACTTAGAGAGAACAAACCAAGTCACCAATTAAGATGCATAATGCTTGCATTTTGCAATAATAAAAACGTAAAAAATTAGATATTAAAATGGTAGCAAAACTCTTGATAGATTACAAGTATCAATTAAGGCTCTATAGTTTTCATAAAGAGAATATATAACACATCAATTTTTCATCAGTGAAAAATCCAGAATACTAAAATTTTGATATGAAACTTGTCTATCTTAATTTTTAAAAGAGCTTCAAGGGTTATTTTCATCTGAAAAGACAAAATCTCTGATATAAAGAGTAGTTATGCTACTCCTATATTTGCCACACTGCAATTTCGATAAAGTCCGAAAGTGCTATCTTGGGCCAGTCCTGTGGCCTCCAAATTAAGGGAGCAAGATTCCAAATATTGACTGCGGTTCAAATCCCAGCCCTGGTGGCTTACAAACATGCCAGATTCGTGTGTGTGCATGCTCCAACTCCCAACAGAAAGAAAAACAAAGAAGGGACTGAAGTGTGACCACATGCCACTAGGGGGTGCTTTCACCCTATCGCTAGTCAACGTGCATGCCCTATGGCAATTCAAAGGCTGTTTTTTTGCAACAAAAAACAATAAAGCTAAGTTTACAGAATTACACATACTTTTCCCACTCCAGTATGTTTGTTTTTAAGTAGACTTCTTCGGTGTTTCACACTTAACCTTTTGGGTTTTAACAATACACAATAAAACTGAGTTTACAAAATTATACACATTGAGCCAGCCTGTGGCATGCGTGGTGGTTAAGGTGGCTGGATCCCAACCTGGCTGGCTGTGCAGTTTGAGTTCTGTACCCAGCAGCTTGAAAAGCACGCCAGAGGGACCAGCAGTTAGCGTAATGGCTATGTTGCTGGACTCCCATGTAGTTCGCGGTTCGCGTCCCAGACCCAGCGGCTTAAACTCACGCTGGGTGCATGTGCGTGCATGCCCAAGATCCTGAGAGGAGAATGGAGGAGAAGGGATTGCAGCATGGCCATCCCCCCTAAGGGGTGATTTCTCGCTTTCTGTCTCTCTGTCTCTGTCTTTCTGGCAAGCGCATGCGCCCTATAGCAAAAACCTCTAAAAAAAAAAAAAAAGAAGAAGAAGAAGAAAGAAAAGAAATGCATGCTAGACATGTGTGTGCCCATAATCCCAAGGGGAAGAGAAATGGAGAAAGGATTGCAACATGACTATTCCCACAAGGGGTGCCTTCTCTGTGCATGTGCCCTCTGAGCAAACATTTTAAAAATAAATAAATAAGCAATTTAAAAAGGAGTGAATTTAGAAAATAATATAAACAGAATTACTCATACTTTTGCTATTCCAAAGTGTTTGTTTCTTTAAGTAAGATTTCCTAAGTGTTGCATACTTACCCTTTTGGGCTGATACGTTTATTCCTTGGCTCTTCTGAACTGCTTGCTTCCTTTCGTCTCTTTTTAGAATGTTTAATTTTCGCTCTCCTCTTATGTTTCCTTCTTCTGCTTCGCTCAAGTTCAATTTCGCTTTCTGAAGATGATTCTGAAGAGGAAGAAGAGTTGGAAGAAGAATCCGAGTCTTCTGAATGAGTTGGTTTCTTCCTTTTTCTCTCAAGAACTTTTAAGAAATAGTTGTAAAAATTAGTACTGGATTTTAGTGCTTACTGTTCAGAGAAAAACATGTGATTACTGAAAATCACAAAATGTCCTCTTAAATATTTTAAATCAACCTCAGGTTAATAATGTAATTGTCGGCAAGACTGTAAGGAAACAAAGCTCTGCCCTCGTGAAGTCTACATTCTAGTTGGGTCAGAAAATAAATAAATAAATAACTGTATAATATAACAAATAAAAGAGTTAAGACAGAAGAAGGGGGAAGAGAAGCTTACAGGAAATAGGAGAGTAGGAGGTAGTGTAAGGTAACATTTGAGGGGCTAGCAGGTGGTGTGGTAGTTATGGCTCCAGATTCTCACATGTCCAACCACAGTTCGAGTCCCGGACCTGGCAGCTTGATTTCTTACTTTCTCTTTTTCTCTGTCTCTGTGGTGAGCACACATGCTCTATAACCAATTAAGTAAATAATAATAATAATAAATTAAATTTAAAAAGAATATTTGAGCAGAGAACTAAAGGAGGCAAGGGAGGGAGCATTTCGCTCTCTTAATGAAGAGGGTTCCAGAAAGAACCACCAGTACAAAGTCCCTGAGTGCTTGGCAAGTCTGAGTAAAGATCAATGGGGCTGGAAGGCAATGACTGAGGGGAACAGGTCAGAGAGACAGCACTGAGTCAGACTGCCCAGCGCCTTACAGTCTACCATAAAGACCTCAGCTTTGGCTGATTGGGAAAGGACCCGCCGGAGGTTCAGAGCAGGTCTACCATAAAGACCTCGGCTTTGGCTGATTGGGAAAGGAACCCCTGGAGGTTCAGCGCAGGATTAACAGAGATGTAAAGCAGTTTGAAAATGATTGCTCTGGTTGCTGTTAAAGACAGATCTCAGAGGGTCAAGGGTTTAAGCAGTGAGACCGGTGAAGAGGCTTCTGCTGCTAAGCAAAGATTACAGTAGAGCAGGGACAGAGGCAAGGTGAACAGTTGCGCGGCTGAGGCAATAATCCAGGAATAAGGTACTGGTGGCTTGGATCAGGTTGGCTGAGAAAAGAAGTGACAAGAAGAGTAAGATCTGACAAGATTTTTTTTTTCTTTTTGGGCGAAGGTTTTTGCTATAGGGCACATGCGCTGGCCAGAAAGACAGAGAAAGACAGAGAAAGACAGAAAGATAGAAAGAGAGAAATCATCCCCCAGGGGGGATGGCCACACCGCAACCCCTTCTCCTCCATTCTCCTCTCGGGGTCTTAGGCATGCATGCACACGTGCCCAGCCTGAGTTTAAGCCATTGGGTCCGGGACTCGAACCGCGGTCGAATACATGGGAGTCCAGCGACATAGCCAGTATGTAAATTGCAAGTCCTAGATCTGACAAGATTCGACGATGGTTTGTATGTAGGGTATGATGAAGAGGTGCAAAGGCTAATCTATCGTACTCATAGGAGTTTGTCCTACTACTGAAACCTAGGAGTATCTTTAAGGTAAGGTCTCTCTATCCTAGCTTCTTCTGGCCTCGAAAAGCTCTTACCATCTTTTGTTGACTTTGTGGCAAGGACCCCACAGTCAATAACTCGCACATCCGCGTAAGGTCTGCTTGCAGCATCAGTTTTCAGATTTTCAATTTGTTCGATTACTTCAAAACCGGAAATAACGAGTCCAAAGACAACGTGCACCCTGTCACAATACAAATTCAAGAAATAACTGGTTTGATGATTATGCTATAAACAATAATCAAGACAATTGTTATAAATGACATGTCTACAGACCTAAAAATAAAACCGAAGTGTTTGATGCATGAGCAACTAGAATAAGACCTTGAATGGGCTTCATAAGAGGAAATAATGATTATGTAAAAAAGGGCCTTAATTTTGTGTCTTCAAAACAATGGTTCCTGAGACCAGCAGTTAGCGTAATGGCTGTGTCGCTGGACTCCCACATGGTTGACCATAGTCTGAGTCCCGGAACTGGGGACTTAAACTCACGCCGGGTGCGTGTGCGTGCGTGCGTGCCCAAGATCCCGAGAAGAGAATGGAGGAGAAGGGATTGCAGCGTGGCTATCCCCCCGGGGGGTGATTTCTCGCTTTCTATCTCTGTCTGGCGAGCACGCGCACCCCATAGCAAAAAAACCTCTCCCCCCCAAAAATAAAAACAAAACAAAAAAACCCCACTGGTTCCTAACCACTTTAGAGTAAGGGAATTTGGTAACAGACCACTCCTGATACTCAAAAACCTCCTTACAGGGCGAATCAAAACTGTACGGCGGAGCAGCTCCCTCGTGAGCACAGGTTAAAGACCACTTCAGTGACATCAAAGCCATGGGGTCTCAAAACTCCTGCACCCTGTGACCCTTGGGGAAGAGCGTGGCTACGAGAGCCTAACCCAGAGATCACGAGCAACCCCTTCAAGGTTGACCCACGGTCCAATCCAAATCCCTCCCCATAGTGAGAATGTTAACTCTTACCCATCCAGGTGTGGGGCAGGTTTTGTGGTACTGTGTAATAACCATCAACACAAAGAAGATGTCCACACGATGTGTTCAGGTGAAGAGGGCAGAAGGGTTTAAACACGGCATGTAGAAGATAAAGAAGCAGAGATAAAAAGACGGGGGAAAGTTAAACATGCTACGCCTCGAACCTTAAAAACCCCCAAACGGCAACAGAAGCCACTTTACTGACTTTAATAAAACATCACTCAAGATTTTACTAAGTGACAAAATTATCTCAGACTACATATATGTATACATAGTACATATAAAAGGTTTGATCTGACTTACATTCATAAATATAGAGCATAATTACATATCGAAGTTACTCTCAAATCCAAAACAACAAAAACGTAAAAAACCCTCAAAGCTTATTAGCATAATTAAATGATAAAAAGCACCTGTCCTTTGCCTTATGGAGAGAAACCATTCAACACTTGCCCTCTACGTCACTGAGTTCTATGCGTTACTCCTCACACTGAGCAGTCTGCATCCTTTAGGCAAGCAGAGGAGTCCTGGTTTCAGAACTTCCTGCCCCTCTTCCTTCACCCCAGGTAAGCTCTGCCATTCAGAGCACCTCTGAAAACGCGTCTATCAACACCTCTAATAACAAAGCAGACAATCATGGATAATATTATAGACACTTTTAAGTTTCCCTGGCCCAGAAAATACCTAACTAGCTTCTTCGACAGAAACAAACTGTCACATGTCACTCTTGAGAAGCCTATGGGATACATCTGATTAATACTGTGGACCTAAGGCTGTTTTTCCCAGATCCTCACACTGTGAATTACAGTGGAAAAAATTCAAAAGCAGATCATTAGACTCAGAATTATATACACAAACCATCTTAATTTATAAGAATGAGAAACAGATATGTGAAAGATAGAAAAAGGTCACTGGGTAGGCCAAATTAAAGCAACTGAATGCACTAAAATGTCCTACAGAAATGTTTATATTGCATTTTAGGGCAATTCTAAGACATATAAGCTCAATGAAAACAATTTCAGTCTTTAAAACAAGGCTAAAAAAATCTTTTATGCACAAGGAACTGTACTGCATATTTATACTAACATTAAGAATATTCCGTCCTAGGGGCCAGCAGTTAGCATAATGGCTATGTCGCTGGACTCCCATGTAGTTGACCATGGTTCGAGTCCCCAAGCCGGTGGCTTAAACTCACGCCGGGCGCATGTGCATGCGTGCCCAAGATCCCAAGAGGAAAATGGAGGAGAAGGATTGTGGTGTGGCCATCCTCCCTGGGGGGGGGATTTCTGTCTGTCTGTCTGTCTCTGTCTTTCTGGTGAGCGCAAATCGCCTATAGCAAAAAAAAAAACGAAAACCTCTCTCTCTCTCAAAAAAAAAAAAAATAAAGAATATTCCGTTCTATAAAAGCATGACAGAATTTAATTTAAAATAATTAAAATGTCTACTTTCAAAAGTTCAGTGGCTAGCAGGGAGCATGGTGGGTAAGGCACTAGCCTAGCACTGGCCAGCCATGAGTCACGGACATGCCAGCCTGAAACTCACACTGGGCACATGTGTGTCATGCCCAAATCTCAGGAGGAGAATGAAGGAGGAGGGAACTGGAGCGTGGCCCATCTCCCCTGGGGCTGATCTCTCACTGTCTCTCCATCAAGCACATGTGCCCTTTGGCAAAAAGGTAACCTTACAGTTCCAGAATTTTAAAGGAAACCTTGAGTTTTCAAGCCACAATTCTCAAATATCCCATAAAAGATTGAAAAGTAGAAATACAAGTCAGTGTAATTATAAAAATATAAACAGGCAGCAAGAAGAAAGTAAAGAAAATCTTGTGAACCGGTGAACCACTAACGCTAAAACCATTTAAACTCGCATTTAGAAATCAGTTGGATAATAACTTTAAGTTGAAATTGTGCTTCCAGTAATATAAAACTTTAACAAAGCATACTAAAGATAAGAAATTAGTACATGAGCTAGTAATTGACTCCATTATATGAGAGATGAAAAGTATGCTTTTAAAATGGTGACAGTTTCAGGTGGGAACAGGTAGTGTGGTGGTGAAGGCAAATGAAGACAGGAACAATTTTTTTTTCTTTCAAGGACAGCTTTTGCCTGCTTGTAATGCCTACACTGATGCAAACAGTTTTAAGTTCCTATTTCACATCTCCCATTCAGGGTGCGGAAACATAAATTTGTACTTAAACTGGGTCAGATTACATATTAAAAATACGGAAAGTATTTAACAAAGAGAAGCCCTCTGGGGTCTTAGCCTATACTCCAGGAGGACTCCCTGTGTGAAGCAGACTTCCTGGCACTGTGCTGAAACTAGGCATGTAGAAACAGAGGACATGGCCAAGGAAGGCTCACCAAAGGGCAGGGAGAACGATATGCTCGGTCCAGGCTAATCAATTTTGCTAAGATGGGCGAGGAAACCTCATCCCACTAACTCTTAAGTGTATCGATCTTTCAAAATTAGAAAGCTGTTCAAAGAACAGTACAGAGGTGACACACGGTAAGTGAAGACTTTAAGCAAGCTTGAGACTATCGCAAATGTGTAAGCTTACATATGCTTATGAAAACACACCTAAAGGAGAAACAACACAAAAAACATTCCAATCATAAAACCTTTCAATAGCATACATTTTTCCTCTTTCCTGTCATTTAGAAAGATCGATTTCCAGCTACTCCCCAAATGAATCTACTTAAAAAAACAGAGGCCTTCAAAAAGTTCATAGACAGTATGTATTATGAAAAAACTGTACATGAATTTCAAAATATTTCAGCACCAAAATAAATTCACATTTTAATTCCATTTTCTATGAACTTTTTGAAATCCCTCATATGTGCAAGTCTTCCTATAAACTTTGTAAATCCTAGAAATGGAAAAGGTCACTATTACTCCAAAAAACAATCTCCATTTTTATACCATTATCACAGGAGCTTCCAGCCTTTGCTGAAATTACTAGTTCTGCACTGAAATGAGATCTAAAACCATTAGATAAGACAAAGACAATATCCTTGTATTTTAAACAACTCTCCCCTAAGAAGACGTGTATAAACTTGGAAACGAGCCACTAGAATTAAAATACACTCCCCAAGTATAACCATGACAACGGAACACACCTGTTTTACATGTACTGCTGCTATGCAGATCAAGCAGAACGTTTTTTCTTTTTTAATGTTTCAATGCACATAACATTAGGATTACAGAGATAAAGGCAAAGAAAGAAAAAGATCCTTAGAGTAATGAGACATTACCTTTGGAGCGCACGGTGTAACACTC